TTTTTTTTTTGTTTTGTTTTGTTTTTAATGTTAAGGAATGTCTGTTACCTGTTTCGGGAGGGAGAATTGTGCTTCTGAACATTCATGGTGTTCAGGGAAAGAAAATGAGCCCCACTCGACATGAATGCATACACAGAGAGTTTCTGAGCACACACATTAACATAAACTTTTGAAGCATACACATAGGTCCCCGGACAACACTCAGACGTCTATATACATTTTCACATATATACACATACATTTACACACACACATTCACACCTTCACTCACAGGTGAGAGAAGAAATTGCCACTGTTTTGATTGCAAGGCAGTGTAATGAAAAGTTCTAGTCAGGCCAAAGGGCTGCTACTGCGCTTTCTAGAAAAGGATGCAAGAAAATTAAAAATTCAGTTTTGTGATTGGTCGCTCCCGGCTACCATCCGTCACCTGGTTGGAAATGCGTTTGCGGTTCCGTTTGAGTTTGGAAAGGTCTTTGTCAAACACTTCTCCTGAGCGTAAAGCTGAGACCAGATCGTCAAACTCTCCGCTTTCTTCACTGTTCTCCTTGGCCTTCCTCATCTTGCGCTCCCTTTCCCGTTGTTCTTTGAGCTGCACATAGAGAGAATCCTTTTAGGATTAAGGTGTATTTTGTTTTCAGCACAGAAGAATTCTGTGCCCTGCGGTAGGGAGTGAATCTCTTTCTTACATGCAGCCATGTATCTATCAGCTGTGGCTGCTAACCTGTGTGGGTAATGTAAAGGCTAACTGAAAAATCAATGGACAGTGAAGGTAAGTTTCATTACATTCTCTCTCTCTCTTTCTGCATTTGAGGGAGTTAACACAGGTAATTTAGGGCTCTTACAAAGAATGCTAATGTCCTTTTGGAAACTTATAATTGTTTCTTGAAGGTAATTTCTAAGGAGCTCCACTCGTGGGATGTGGACAGGATTTTTCAGTCTTTGGAGAGAAACTCCCAAATCGCTCAAGAGAAACGTGGTATGGATCTAAGCTATCTGAGTCACTCTAGAATGCATGGT